GGAGGAGGAGGAGGAGGTGGAGGAGGAGGAGGAGGAGGAAAGAGGAGGAGGAGGAAAGAGGAGGAGCGAGCGACCCCAGGGCGCGGGTTCTCCATGCTGCTCCAGGCACCGCGGCCGCGGCCGCGGCGGGGCCCTCCGCTCAGCGCCTCGTCGGTGGGCGCTTGCGGGAGGTCGAGGCCGACGATGGTGTCGTCCTCGCCGTAGTCAAACTGAGGCGTCTCGCCGTCGCTGGAGTGGCGGACCACTGCGCTGTCCGCGTCGGTGCCGTAGTCGGTCAGCGCGGTGCTGCTTGTCTCACCTGCGAAGATCTCCGTCTCCATCGTCACTGCGGCTGCCCGCGCCGCTGCCGCATCGCCAGGTGAGGTCGCGGGGAAGGCCCCCACCCCCGTCGCAGGTCCAAGCGACATATGGACAGTGTCTTTCTTGCCCCAGTACCAGTGCAGGAATAAGTGTCTCTCGTGACCCATCCGCTTGGACTTGTAAAGTCGCGGGGGAAGCTCCCGCCTCCGTTGCGATACCAAGCGACGTACAGACAGTGGGAGGATCCAGAAGTAGCCCTTGTGGGGGCGCGTATTGTGCGTCCGCTTCTTGAACATGCGAGGTCGCGCGGGAGGCCTCCACCTCTGACGCATCCCCGAGCGATGTAGAGACAGCGGGTGGAGCCAGAGCCCATGCGTGTCGATGCGCGTCGCGTTCGTTATCAGCTCGGACTTGTGACTTCGCGGGGGAGGTCCTCACCTTCGTCGCCGCCCCAGGCGACATAAAGACAATAGGAAGCCCGAGTGCTTGTTCAGGTATTCGTGCGACTTGGCAGGTTCGAAGCGCTTGGGCGGCACCCTGCGATGACGCAGCTGAGTCGGGCCCCAGCCCGCCTGTCACTGGTTCTCGACAATCTGTCGCTCCGCCGGCCTCAGCCACTGCGGGAACACGCGTTCCAGCGGGGCCGGGGTGAAGATGAGAGCCTCCAGCCGTGCCGCTCGGGCAATGCACCGCGAGCCCGCGCGCGGCATGCGTGGCTGCGTGGCTTCGAACTCGCCCGAGTCGGAAGGCGGAGGTGCTGGCGGCGCTTCGGCGCCGCCAAGAGGTGCGGGGCCTGGCTGGCCGTCGGGGGGCGGTGGGGCGAGGGCTTCTAGATGTCCCGGCGGGCCGTCGCGGGCAATCCCAACGCCCTCCTGCGCCATCAGGGAAGCGTCGCCAGTCATGTCTGGACCGTCGGGGCCAGCAGGCGTGGAGAAGCTGCCAGCGCCGCTGTCATCGCGGCCGCCGTCATCGGTGTTGTCGCGGAGGGCAAGGTAGCGGGCAACGCTCTGGCCGCCAGAGGGCGCTGCGTCGGGATCAGGCTGCATGTCGTCCGATGTGTTGCCAATGGCGCGGCCGGCCACCATCGCGAGGCTCGCGAGGTGGTCTAAATCCACGCCGGGGCAGTCGTTGTCGTACCGTTTTCGCACAGGCGGCGCCATCCTCGATCGCAGCCAGTTCTTCCTCGTGAGCTGCATTGTGGTCCCCTTCCATCATCTGGAGGCTGCTTTCTGCCGGTTTCGGGTCGTCGTTCAGGCCGGCGCCGGCGTTTTCCTCGTCGGGCGGGAAGCGGAGGCGCGCTGCTCCGAGGTCGCCCCCATCATCTTGGCCACCATGATCCCCGCATTGGTCGCCCAGAAGATGCGGCAGCAGAGCGCGCGGCGGCGCGCGAAGGAGTGGCAGCAGCGCTGGTGGCTGGGAAGGCCTCGCCTGCAAGAGGTCTCGGCGTTCGCCCCGCCGCGCGCGCGCGTCGCGCTGGGCCCCCGAGGGCGCCGTCGGACGTGCTCGGACACCCTTAAGTGGGATAGCTCGTGGGCGTCGGTGCTCATGGTCGGGCCGCGGGGGCCGAAGGCGCTGCCGCGGCCGCCCCTGTGCAATCGCCGCGCTGCGCCATCCCGGCACGCAATTATCTCGCGCCAGCTCCTCCCGAAGTCGGGGGCCCGATGCCACTCAGGCCTGCAGGTCATGGGGAGAGCCCGAAGATCGGCTCGAATCCCTCGCGGCGCAGGACGCCCGTGACGCAGGGGATGCACCAACCCAGCCCCTGCTGAAGTCCGAGCCGCCGTTGCGCGCGCAGCGAAGGCGCCCAATTCTGGGCCCAGCTCGCTACCCGATCCGCGAGTTCGCGTCGGCTTTGCTCGTGCCGGGCTAGTGGCCACAATGGCCGACGGGGGCGGGTCGCTTTGGGGCGCGCTGCGAAGATGCGAGGTCGACCCAGCCCGCAATCCCGCACTGTCAGCGCCGACGAGGAGTCCGAGAAGTTGTCTTCGGACAGGGGGCCGTCGTTGTCGAGCTCGCTGGTGTCGGCGCTGGAAGAAGCGGCGCACGCGGGGGAAAGCAGCGGGGACAGAGCTTCGAATAATTCCGCGATGCCAGAGATGCCACTGTCAGATGAGCTCGGGGATGTCGGTGAGGAGCTGGTGCTGTCTGATGTGCTGCTCGGCTGTGGTGGGTGCTGCGGCTCTAAGATGTTGTGGGCTTCGGCAGTGATGTCGGCGTTCGGAAGTCACTGGCCCCCGTGCCTCCTCCACGCCGTGGCCATGATCGCTGCTGTAGGTTGGGCCCTCGATCTGCGTGTAGGAACCGAGAGAACCTTGAGCGCGGGGGCCCCTTTCAGCCGCCTCCTCGAGCTCGGGGAAGGGGGCCCAGTCTTTGGACCGCGCGATGTAGCAAGTCAAGTGTGCGCGGAAGAGGAGGTCCAGGCTGTCCTCGCCAGGGTCGGAGATGCACCATCTTCGCAGCAGGTCGCTGTCCAGGAAGATCCGTTCGCCAGATCGTGTCATGGCCAGCCCGCGCATGAGCCTGCGGCATGAGAGTAGGTGAGGTGCGTCGTCAGCTTCGTGCTCGCAGCCGAAGATGCACGTGCGTTTGCCGCTGGGATATGGCATCCGCTATGAGGTGAGCCAGCCGCAAGCCAACGATCGCAAAGGCACATGCGACCTGGCGGGGGGCAGAGTGGAAAGCAGCAGCTGCGTGCGCCACCATGGCGCGCGAAGGATTTCGGCGCTGCAGTCAGAGATCACTTGGTCCAGCGCTGGATGCAGAACGGGAAGGTCATGGCCTGCCACATAGGCGTGCGTTGCGGAATATCCCTCGATTTCCAATGGTGCCAGTCTGCCGCCAGGGGGTCACGGCCGACCTTCGGGCATCTGCGAGCGGTGCTCGGCGTGGCAAGCTCGACTCTGATCGCTGCAACGCCTTGCGCGGCGCCCGTGTACGGCTTGCGGTTGTTGGCGCCCTTCTTGGTCTCGTCCAGCGTCGTCGCAGAGGCGGGCGCACCACGAGAAGAGATGCCGGGGAAGACGGAAGCTCGGCTAGCGCCCGATCGACTGTCCACCTGTTGGCGACAGCCAGGGGGCGGCTCTTCCGATGCACGCGGGTGGGTGACCAAAGTGGATCGGATGAGAGCGACCTGGACCATGCTCTATGCATATAGAAGCTCGCCCCCCCCCCCCCCCCCATTCGCGCGGTAAGCAGTGGCCCACCTGGCGGAAGCGCCCCGCGCGCGCGCCTGCAGTCCCCGACCAGCTGGTGGATCTCCTCGGAGGCGGAGCACGCGGGGAGGGGCACCAGCTGGGCAACGTAGCTGACCGGGATCGCGCGGACGTTGTAGAGCAATGCGCTTGTACTCATCAGTGCTGCCGTCCGTCGTAGCCAGCGCTGCGACACGGCGCTTGAACGCGTGCCTAGGGGCTTTCCCGTTGAGACAAGATCGCCCAGCCAGAAGCCCGGTTAGAGCAGGTGGCTGACAACTGCGAAGACCTTCCACGCTGGCGTCGCCTGCGGTATGGCGTGGTTGATATGGTGGTGGAAAGTTGGTGGTCGAACGGGCACTCTGGGGGCGCGACCTTGCATTTCGCCGTCTTCAGGTGCAGGGTCGCGCGCAGGGCCGCCGGGTCCATCGCGTTGGCGAGATTCGGGAGGCTGCGGGGGGAGTGCAGGGCGTCGCCGCTGTCGTCCGCGCGCGCTCTGAACGTGCCCAGCGCGGCCTTTGCCAGAGAGCGCGCAACCTTGGATGATACCACGGGAGACGGTGAACATAGCCACCAGCATGCCATCTGCAGCCGCGATCGCCATGACAATGGAGCGCAGACAGCGAACTGCCGCCAGGAACGCCGCAGGCACCGCCAAGTCCCCCAGGACAATCCTGGGACATTATGCTGAGCGGCCCGGGAAGGCTCGGCCGAAGTCCAGATCGGTCAGGAGAGGATGTTGGTCAGAACACCTGGCATGAGGCTGGCGGCGCGGGCCTCTATGTCGAGCTCCAAGACGCCGTCGGCGAAGCGTCGGCCTGGTAAGAAGCCCCGCGCAGTCGGGGCGCGGGCTTTGACGAGCGGGCAGATGTCCGAGGTGAGCGTCGCTGCGATGAGCTTCGCATCGGCGCAGCGGAGGCCGAGCGTGCGGACCTCGCCGGGGCCTCGGACGGCGCGCCCATCGTGGCGGTCATCGGCGAGCGCGCCCTCGGGTTGTAAGGCTTGCTTCGCGCCCCCCGCGCAGCGAAGGAGACGCCCTCCGCCCATCGGCCGGAGCGCGGATTCCCGAAGAACTTCGCAGCGGCCAGCGGGATGGACGCCCGGGCGCGGCAGGGAGGGCCACGCGGCGGACTGTCTCGCCCACGTCGTCGGCGCCGGGCGGGGGCGGGCCCCGGTCGGCGCGGGGCCCCGGGAACTGGCGGACGTAGCTGCGCGCTGCGTCAAGGTAGACGGCGACCTTGGTGAAGAAAGACCGGGGCCCCGTAGCGCGCGGGTCCCTGCAGTTGGTCGCGCTGGCGCAGGTGCGCTCGCTCTCCACCCGCAACGCCGCGGTCGTTCGGCCGCGGCCACTCGGCCAGCCATGCCCTTCTTCCTGCGGGCCTCTGTCGGCGATATCCTCCTCCGCGGCGTGGAAGTGGCCCCTCTCCGCCCAGCTTTGGAACAATTCGGGGCGCGCGATGATTGCGTCTCTGCCGACGACGGCCAAGCGCCAAGCAGCCTGCCGATAACCTGATACCAACGGACGATGTGGCACTTGCTGCTGCTGTGTTGTCGGCGCGGGAGCTGGCGGGTCGGTTGGCGCAGATCCAGGCGGGCGAAGGCTGCGAAATTCATGTCGCCCGCAATGATGAATAATCTCCTGCTCGGAGCGGCTTGCGCCCAAGCCACGTCGGTTGTCGGAGCCTTCATGATGGCCTGGATCTGGCGCTGGGAGATATCATGGCTGTGGATATTGCGCTGGCGGAGCTCAGTGTCCGCTGTCTTGGCGATGACCTTCAGCGAGCGCCCTCTGGCATGCACAAATGTCTTCGCTGCCCTGACGGCCGCGCCTGGGAGTGGCGCGACGTCGGCCGCGCCGCCCTTCCGGCGCCCGTCCGCGCGGTCGTAGAAGGAGCAGAAGACCCAAGAGCGTGGCGCAATGCCCCTCGTGGACACCTCCACCTGCTGCTCGCTCTGGTGGGCCTCCTGGGTCGCGGCGAAGGTGCGAGGAAGGTCGCGCCGCCGTAGGTAGTCCGCCTTCTCCAATGCCATGCCGCCCCTTCCAGCGAAGTAGCGCACGAGCGTTCCACGTCGCGGAGACGATGCTTTCCCTGGACGTTGTCGGCGCAGCGGCCCCAGATTCACCTCGCGCTGCATGTGCAGGAGTTCGTCAGAAGTTCCACTAAGGTTGCGCACCTGGGCAGAAGGAGCGGCGCATGAGGTCGCGGAGATGCGCGCTTGCGACCCTTCTCCTCCAGGCCCGTGGGGTTCCAGAACACAGTAGTGGGCTCGCGCCCTGGCGATGGCTGGAGTCGAAACAACAGCGCCCAACCCTCCGAGACCCGGCCGCTGCCGCGGTCGAAGAACTTGCCCTCGGGGAGCGTCTCGCGGGGGCTTGCCAGGAAGCGCTTGCCCTGGATCTTGGTGCGGATCTGGCAGGGTGATTTGTCTGGTCCAACGTGCAATTGCATGGAAAGGCCTTCCACTGTCGGTACTGGGAAGCAGACCAACCCGTCCTTGTTCTTGAGGCCTCCGAGGGCCTGCTGCGCGCGGCGAGCGGCGATGCCTGCTGCCCCTGTGAACTGTAGCGCTTCGACTGCGGTTTGCTTTCGATGCGGCACGTGTCAGCCACGTCCACGTCCTTGAGCCAGGAGTCGAGGGACTGGGAAGCAGCGTCGCGTGTGACACGGGTAGATGCAGTAACTTCGAGGATCGTCGGGTCGACTTCTCGCTTGGAGTTCCTGTCCGAGGGTTTGGGCGGCTGTGGGGCGCGGCAGGCGGGCGCAAAGTATTTGCGCATCTGCCACATCTGCTGCTGGAGGTCGGTGAGCTGCTTATGCGTTTCTCGAAGTCGTCGAGCTCGGGCCTGGTGCGGGCCGTGGCTGCTGCTGCGGCTTCGCCAAGGGCCGCCCTGATGGAGTCCGTGAGCCGTCGTGGCGCCTCGTCGACGTGGGCCACGGCTACCTGGGTGGCGGCAGTTGCGGCGTTGGCGAGAGCTTGCTCGCACTCCAGCCTGAACTGGCCGAGAGACAAGCGAATCTCAATGCGCACGAGTTCCCGAACGCGATCGTCGAACCAACTCTGCTGCGCGAGGTCCTCGGGCCCGTGTCCTTCGCTGCTTGCGCCTCCACCAGATCGGGGCCTGACTTCGTCCTCGTCAGCACCAGGAGCAGAGCCAGCAGAAGGGTCGCCGTCCACATGCTTCTTCTTATTCTTATTCTTATCCTTATTATTATCCTTATTATTATTCTTATTACTGGTATTATTATAAGCAACCTGTTTCTCTCTTTTTTGTTTTCTTGTTATTATTATCCTTATTATTCTTCCTAGGTTTCGCAGCTGTTTCGCAGCTTTTTTGACTCTCAGTGCACCATCGGGCATGGACTCGCCGCAGCGGGGAAGCAGCGGCTCCAGTGAGAGCGCTGGCCATAGCGTCGACAACGCGGCCGACCGAGGTCCCCGACAGGGGGGTGTACATGAAAGGACGCTGGTCGCGGACTAGCGGTACAGTGCGAGCGCGACCGCAAGAAACTCTCGCAAGAAACTCAACCTTGAAATCACGCGCGCGAAGTGTACCGGAGGGGAAGCCTGGAGCACTCTGACCGCAGCAGCCCCTTCAACGGCCGCGGGAATTTGTCGCGCAGCGCGCGGAGCGAAGAAACCTAGAATACCCTGACGAAAACATATGGTTTCTTGATGCGCGCCCCCACTGTATCCACTTCTTTCCCTGGGGAACAAGTCACCTTGAGCCAAAATATCTGCGGAGGAGGAGTAGCAGCAGCAGAGGCAGCAGGAGGAAATGGAAGAAAGGGAGGAAGAAGTTGAGGAGGATGGGGAGGACGAGGAGGAGGAGGATATGAAGGAGGAAGATATGGAGGAGGATGGGGAGGACGAGGAGGAGGAAAAGGGTGAGGAAGAGGACCTTGGGGGAAAAATCCGCCCATTCGGATCCGAGCGGTCGGGAAGCCCTGCGCAGAGAGGCGCCGTCCCAGGTGCGACGGCCCATGCCAGAGAGGAAGAGAGAGAGCAAGGAGCAAGGGGACGCCCGGCGGCAGCAATCCAGAACCGGGAGCTGGGCCCCGAGAGGCCAGCAGGCCCCGCAGGGCGGAGGGAGGCGGGGGGGG